GTTTCTTTTTATATACTGTGGGTTACCAAGTACTGAAGGGCAGTACTACATAGTAAACAAGTGTTCTCTTCGAACGAAGCGCCTCATACAATCTCGATCGAACTTCACAAGTTCGTTTGATCGATCAAATGAACGTCGAATTCTGTTGGGAATTTTCACAGAATTTCATATTTTGCGACTCCCATTAATTTTGCGAAATTCGTAGAAGCATGAACAAACCTTTACAAGACCAGCGAATCTTTCAAACCTAAAGGTTATCAAAAGGTTATTCGTGTTTATATTAATCGAAGAATCAAACCGAAAACTAAAACACGTCAAAAAAATCCACGGTCATTCTGGTGACAGTGAATCTACCGCTTTTTCAGCAGCCGAGTTCCGTGAATAACCTTTTTTCAGGAACCAACCGAACATTTCATATTTACGGAACGGAAAACTAGAAACAGTAGTTGATTAACGACAAGGAGAGTATTTACGGAACATACCCTTGGTAGATACCAACCACAGAACACAGAACTAATAAAAACCATATCAAAATTCCAACATTTTGTGCAGTTGTGCTGGCATGGAATATGTCATTTGACATGTGACACAAATAGTGATTTAAATGTCAGTGAGCTGTCAATAATAGCGTAATAAAATGGTGGTTGTTATGTAGATGTTGAAGTTTTCAAAATATGTTTTTGGATTTCAAATTCTATTCAAGTGGATAAAAATAATATACAGTAATAATATGATTATATATCAGACTTAAATTAATGGTGAGTCCATTCATTCAAAACTGCACCAACACCTACTAATCGTTTAGCTAGACCCAAATAATTAATATAAAGTTGATCATTACCATAATTGAAAAATATAATCAGATATCTATTGGCTAAAACGCTATTTGCCATGTTTTGAATCGGAAACACCGGAAGCACTATGATAAATTACCTCATAATTATTATTTCAAGTTGTTATATACTTGGCTGGGAGTTTTCCTTGGTTTCTAAAACAAATTATCAAGTTGACTAATGATGTAGCTATTTATTCAACTCATTTTATTAATTCATTGAATTGGAAGACGCCGTTTCATTTCAAATTGGAACATACATTTTAGCTTATTATTTTTATTTACATAAACCTATCCAATATATCTGAGTATTATGAAATCCTTTGCAGAAAAATATGGCATGAGCATCAACAACATTTAGTTATGTCAAGCCAAAATTCATCATTCACACAGGTAAGTGATAGATATTTTAATCAAGCTGAATATTGTTTTGCCAGTGTTATTTTTTGCTAGTCTACCATATATCTTCATTATCTACCCATACATATATATCTATTTATATACCATCATTTTGCCAACATCAACAAAGATTACTAATACTACTATATAAGTATAAAGTATACCTATTTCAAATCATTAACTGAATGAGTTTATTGGATGACATAAATTATCTAAAATGATACCACGAATCATGAATCATAAATATATTATTTTCAAGAAAATAAAATTAATAGGTATCAATCAGTCCTTGAAATAAGACTGATAAAAAACTTGAACTAGAATACTGTATTTTCATTTAAATAAACATTTTCTGTTAGGTAGGCATGTTTATATTATCTTGACCTTGCAATTGGAGACTTCTAATTATTATAAGTGCATTTGACCTACTTATTTTCTTTTCTTTTCAGAAATATTTGTGGTTTACTCTATACAGGGTGTCTCAAAATTTTATCCACAAATGAATTCATCGTCATTTCCAGAGCTAAAATGATTATTCCTGGAAATACACCTCCACTCTATTTCACAATGTCAAGTCTAATTTCTTAGCTTCTTTGATAGGATATGTGATGACATCAAATTCATTCAAATTTGTACCTACCACCTCTTCATTCAATTTTTATTTATCATTTGGATCGCACATAAAGGAATCCCTGTTATCTTATGTTGAATAATAATTTGAAAAAAAAATCTCATTTGGTAAAGTATCCAAATTGAGTTCATTACCAGAAAGTTTATTTAATATTTTGACAACAGAAATAATGCCTGTTGAGAAAATTCTGGGATAGCATATAATTTTAGTAGTCATTCAGGGGCGCATCCAAGGGGGGAATAATTACCGATCCTCCCCCATAAACTGGAAAGGGGTTAGAAATGGAGATGAAATCACAGAATGATCATATTTGACAATAGTATTATTAGAATTAGAGGAGCTATTAGCAATGCAATCTTGCAACATTGTTTTCACAAGGAACAGCTAGTGGTCTGAATAATTTTATATATTATATACCTGACTACATTGAACATATGTGAATGTAGTTATTCATAATTTCTCATTGCAAATTGTACCAAACTGTATGCATATCACTTGATTTATTTCTTTAATGTTGAGTTTCTTTGAGACATGGGATGTTCAATCCGGGATCCCGAGATATTTTTCATTCCGAAAATTCCGGGATTTAAAATCGGGATCCCGAAAATCTCAATTTTTTTTAGTGACTATTCCACTCTTGATCTCGAGAACCAATCAGAATCGACCATTTTCACGGTTTCTTCTGTATTCTAGCGATATTTTTTGTTTATTAAATTTTATCGGACTTGCTCTACCAATACAGAAGCCGAATTGACCCACACGTGACCAACAAACCTCGTTTATCAGCGATAAAATTTTGACATCGTGTCTGGTCAAGATTGCTTTGGATTCAAATCTGAGACAATAACCTAAGTTCCTACTTTATTTTATTTACTTATAATTCGCGTTAGGGAGATATTTTGTACGAAAGGCGAGACAATTTCATTTTGGCTGGACATTTCATGTGTAATTTAAAAAGTTTGCATATTTGTTGACGGTCTATTGACAATACCTCAATCAATGATTGAGATCTTTTCTCTATCTTGAACGAGAGAGAGGAAAGTTCTCTAACGTCTCTCCTCTTCCATCTCTCTCTGCAATGCTACCAACGTGGCTGCATTGAAATATTGAGAAGTCCGATAAATCGTTCCTTGTCTAACATCTACTTTGTGCCACTGAACTATTTTTCAATTCAGCAGTGTCAAATTTAACGATATTAACAAATTATGTCAAAATAAGTATGTTATAAATCCATTTCGAAAATTCTAAATGTCATCAGTCAATGACATTCATGACATAGACATAATAGTTCAGTGGCGCAGACTAGAGGTTAGACAAGGAAAGATTTATCGGACCTCTCTATATTTCGATGCGGCCACGTTGGTAGCATTGAAGAGAAAGATGGAAGAGGAGAAAACTTTCCTGTCTCTCGTTCAAGGTAGAAAAGAGCTCAATTCAAATTCCTTTCAGAAGTAATCTTCTTCAATCACTCAAGTTATTGTATAACTATTATATAATTACCAGATGATGAAGCGCAACTGATAGGGTTGTTGCGCGAAGATACGAAGATACGAAGGTCGATGGTTCGAGCCCCTCGGCGACGACATTTTTTTTTAAATTATTTCATGTCACATAAATCCAATTTATTTTGTTTGAGTTGGATAGCAATTGTATACACTCTTTTGAGAGCAACCATCTCCAAGATAATTAAAAAAATACTGTTCATCAAAATTGTACATTCCACTTTGTGACTAACTATAAGTAGGTAGTTAATTTATAAAAAGTGAATTCTGTATTTTATTACTATATGTTCTTCTTCGCAGTTTGAGTTGGAATATACTTAAATTATGTTTCCTATTTCTTATATATATTGTCTCATTCAATCATGAAATAGTCATACGAATACAACTCGTGATAATATTTTTCCTGGAAATATTCGTCGATTGACATACTCCAGCTTGCTGCTCTAATTTCGCTCATGACCTTGATCCAAAACTACTCGCCTACGGCTCGTAGTTTTGATAACAATGTCATTCACGAAATTACTAGACAACATGCTGTCGTAACAATCACCGAATATTTCCGGCAAAATATCATCACTTGTGGTATTACATATGACTATAATTATTGCAATCTGTGTTTTATTTATCTCAAGCAAACGCAGACATTCACAAATTATTTTGATTGCATGTAACTGTAAAATGGAGTTTCTTTTATTAAAACGTTATTTTTTATGTGTATCTGCATTTTTGTTGCTTCTGTTGCTAGTGTTAGAATAAAAAAAGGAGTTAATCCCGGGGTCCCGGGATCTCGTATTTATCAGATCCCGATCCCGAAAATTGGATACCCCATTTCAGTATATTGACGTATTTCCCGTTTTCAGAGGTACCAACCTTATATGTTTGACCAGTTTCGCCAACCCGATGGTCAATGGGATTCCTCCTCAGCACCTAATCCGCCCACAGTTCCTGCGAGGGGCATTAAGATAATCGCGCCTAGCGAGGTGTCCCTTCCATGTGAAGAATCTTCTTGGGTAGGTGCATGAAATGATGGCTCATATTATGAGGCTTGTGTTCTGATGTCAAAAACTTTGATTTATAACAATCAGTTGTTTTTCACGACTTGTGGGCGTGGTCTTGTCAGTTCTCAGCATTCAGCACAATGTTGCCAAGTCTCCCACATTCACATGATATTTTGTTATGGAGAATAAGAAATATTTGGACATGCTGGTTGCTCTAAAAAGTCAAGAATGAACTATTATCTCATGAGATCCTCCTATTATGTTTTATTCAACGACAAGTCTCAAACATCGTTTTGATAACTTGATTATAATTGGTTGGGTGACTCCACAACCTTACTTCATGAGTGGAAATGGAAGATTATCTGACCAATAACAAAACAGCATAAAAACTGACATCACCATGTATTCAATGTATGGACATTGACTTATTATTTGCATAAAAAAGCGTGAGACGTGTTGCAAAAATTAACTTAGGAGTAATTGAATGCCAATAATCAGTCCACTAGGCCATTCTGAGAAATACATTCCCCCCCAGTCCTGCTATAGTCTATATTTTGCAGATGGTACCACAAGACATAACCCACCCCATGTATGACAATGTAATGCACCAATGCAATTCACTATTGAGGGAAAACAATATGAATGCTGGTCCAGGATATAGTAATAGTAACATTATAAAGAATCAAATTGGTAGTGAACATGATGTTAATGTTAATCATGTACAAAGTCCTCTAAGGTCTACTTCCAAATATGCTTTCTCACCGTAAGTATCTACACACACACACATATATATATAAATATCAAACATATTTTTGGCTAATAATAAGTGTCAGAGCTAGTATAAGTGTTGAAAGTTATATTCTACCAAGGACTTACTCAATTAGTTACTAATAATAATACACTTTTTCATTACCAGAAATCAAGTTTCATTTGTTGTTTGTTAGTGCTCATTTATGGGGCAAACAAAATCAATTTGGTATCCATTGCTAAATACTCAGGGTTTTGCTTCTATTTCATTAAGTGGGTCAGGAAATGGATCAGGATAATGTCTTTTATTTTATTTGGCAATCATTGATTTCTGGAAAACACAAAGGACTACCTCAAGTACAATTTTTTGATCAACTCCATGTGCTTATACATTGTTTTGTCCTCTCATTTGAAAGAATAATAATTACAAAAAAATTACCCATAAGATAAGCATGATTTATGTATATGGCTCTGAAAAATGGTCACCAGGCATTTTTGAACTTTTAATCAAATTAATTTAAACTACGAAATAGCCACAATGGGAATTTTAGTTTTGGAGTGATTCTTTCCTCTGTTCTACCCAGATGGCGTTACTTTCATTTTGTCGATGAAAGACGCCTCGGGGTGAATATAATGCCGACTTGATTTTTGTATGGCTAGGCTTCGCTGAGTCGGCGGTCTTAGGACTGCTGGCTGGAGACTACACTGCACTAATGAGAGTCAAAGACAAAGAGCTCGAAACCGGTCTGTGGTTGTCTAGCGGCCAGGCTAAATCAAAATCAATAGGCATTCAGGAAAGAATCACTTGTATCAGTATTCGTTTATAGGAGTCGATGGGAGGATTTAATTCAATGTCCTGCGTGGCATTAGCCAGGGACGTTGTAGTTTTTCTCCCGAAATCTACCATTATCGTTCATTTTATGAACATTCTGTGGAAATTACTGTGCTTTTTGTATTTATTTTAATTAATTTAGTATTTCCATCTGATTCAACAAAATACCCTAGTTTTATTCATTCTGATAATAATATGCAAGTCAGTAAGTGATTTAAAAAAAAAATCAAACAATTTTTCTTTTATGAAGCTGAAAATCTATGTGAATGTTATAGAAACTGCCAGTACCTACTACTAGAATACTGAAGTTTCCAAACAAAGCACAATATCGTTTTCAATGCTATGGAATCCAGGTGTCGATTTTGATATCAAAACATCGAATTTTTTAGATGGTTTCATGGCAAAATTTCGAGAGAAGATGCCGAGAACTTGTTACGTCCGAGATCTGACGGCCTTTTCCTAATAAGAGAATCAACAAACTTCCCTGGCGATTACACTCTTTGTGTTTGTTTCCAATCAAAAGTCGAGCATTACCGAATTAAATCAAATAGTGGGAGACTGACCATTGATGATGAAGAGTTCTTTGACAACTTAGATGACCTAATAGAACATTACAAAAATGATGCCGATGGGTTGTGTACAAAACTAGAAAAACCATTGCCCAAAGAAAATGACTCCTTATTTTCCAATGTGAGCAAGCCCACTGTAAAGGAGGGAGATGAGTTATTCGTCATTCCTGAACAGGAACTTATGGTATGTTGAATGACCAAAGGTTTTTATGGGGATTTCTAGGTTCAAATTTCATGAATTTTAACGTTTATGAAAAAAATCGATAAGCTAGCAAACTCATGACAATTGGTAGATTTTTGAACTTTTGAACATCTTGAAGGTGGATTGAAAAAATTACGAGTTGTAATCACAGATGAAGAACCCTACATTTTGGCAAAACTACCTGCCTGACACTGTATATTTTTTTAGATTCGCGAGTCCATAGGTAAAGGTGAATTTTGCGAGGTTATGCTTGGTAAATGGAAGAACAACAAAGTAGCCGTCAAAGTATTGAAAGATTCTAGTGAAGCAGAAGCGATTTTGATGAAGTGAGCAGTCCAACCAATATCAAAAAACCTTGATCAAATTCCCTCCTATTCCAGATCACTTCATCATGAAAACTTAGTTAATTTATTGGGCATAGTGAGAAAGAAAGACCAGATCTACCTAGTGACGGAATATATGAGCAAGGGAAGTCTCGTCGATTATCTGAGGTCCAGAGGTCGGCAGCATGTGACCAAGAAGGACCAGATCAACTTTGCTTTCGACACGAGCTCAGGAATGGAATATCTGGAGAAGATGCACGTGGTTCATAGGGATCTGGCTGCCAGGAATGTTTTGATAGCGGAGAATGGCAAAGCCAAAGTGTCCGATTTCGGGTTGGCCAGAAACGAGAAGAATGCGACGTCTGAGTCTGCCAAATTGCCAATCAAATGGACTGCACCTGAAGCTCTCAAGCAAAACGTTAGTAATTCGATCATTATCTTTAGTATAGGAAATAATCAACTAATGCTTTCTGGTGCATACAGTTTCAAGTCTTATGGCAAACACTGTAACTATTCCATTTTTCATTTGGTTTCCCAAAATAAAGGTGAATTCAAAGGTTTGAAAACATTATAAACTGATATAAATGTCAGTTTTCAAAGAGGATGATTTTTTCCCTATTGAATTAATTTTTTTATTTCAATGATATTTGAGTTTCTTTTTCTGAAGAGAATATGTAAAAAAGCGTTTATTTTGAAAATTAAAATATAGTATTGATGATTTTGAGAATGAAATCAGAATTATTTATTGAAAGTAGCTGATATCTTTGATTTTTGAAGCTAGCTCAATGATCTGGCAGTGGTTTGAATTCAAGTTACAATGGAATTTTTCACAAAAAAGTAAGGTACTCAATATTGATTTGTAATAGATTGATGAATTCTGAAAAGATGCTGAATCTAGGAATGCAAAAAATTATTTCATTGAAAAGAGGAAATTTTTACCAGTTTGTAGTGTTTTTCAAATCAATGGATTTGATTTTTTTATTTTTCAAAATGGCATGAAAAATTGAAGATTTACAGCTTGAAATGTTTTTTTCTAAGAGTTTGCCTGAACCGTTTTTTTTTTCATTTCAAATTTCTGGATTGAAGCAGTTTGATGATTTTTGAGATTCTAGTGAAGAAGGTTGTTCAAATACTTTTAGAATTATGGATTTTTGTGGATGTTTCCTTTCTTCATAAAAAAATACCTTTAGTAATGGTTGGTTGGCTATGTATTTTATGATTTTGAAACCTATAAACAGTTATTGTACAGGTTACCAATTTTTTCAATGTGTTTTTTTCTTGAGCCCTTGAACATTCACTCCATTTCGGAAATTTTTAATGATACATGAGTTCAGAAAAGATGCTGAATCAAAGGTGTCAAAAAAATCATTTCAGTAGAAAAAGGAAATATTTACCAGTTTGTGGTGTTTATCAAACCATTGGATTTGCTTCTTTATTTTTTAAAATGGGGAGAAAAATGAGATTTACAGCTTGAAAAGTTTTTTATAAGAGGTTGCTTAAACCTGCTTTTTAACTTTCAAATCTCTGGATTTTAGCTGTTAAGATGATTTTTGAGAATCTAGTGGAAAGGCTTGTTCCATAGATATAAGATGCTTGTTCAAATACTTTTAGAATTTTGGCTTTTTTTTTGGTTGTTTCCTTTCTCAAAAAAATACTATTCAGATTTAGTAAAGGTTGATAGGCTATGGATTTTATGATTTTGAAACCCATAATCAATTGTACAGATAACAACAATTTTTTTTATGGAGCATTTATATGAACCTTGAACTGAAACTGTTGCAGAAATGTTAAAAAAATTAGTTTTGTAGTGTTTTTCATTACATTCCATATGATTTTTTTTTTGATTTTTTCAAAATGAGATGAAAAATGACAGATTGAGCTTGAAATAGGTATTTTTTATAAGAGTTGTATTGAACCTGTTTTTTTACCTTTCAAATTTCTGGATTGTAGCTGTTCCCATGATTTTTAAGAATTTAGTGAAAATGCTTGTTCAAACAAGTACTTTTGGAGTCAAGGCTTTATTGTGGATGTTTTCTTTCTTGAAAAAAATACTAGTTAGATTTGGTAAATGTTGATTGGCTATGGATTTTATGATTTTGAAACCCATAATCAATTTACAGGTACAATCCAATTTTTGTTTTTTTTAGCATTTATATGAACCTTGACCTGAATGTTTTCCATTTCAGAAATTTTCAAACAAGTCTGATATGTGGAGTTTTGGTATCCTTCTATGGGAAATCTATTCATTTGGTAGAGTTCCATATCCCAGGATAGTAAGTTTTCTATCAGCTTCTCATAAATATTTGTAACCAGTTGAATTTTTCAGCCTTTGGCAGATGTTGTCAAACACGTCGAAAAAGGTTACAATATGGAAGCTCCAGAAGGTTGTCCACCAGAAGTCTATGAAATCATGAGACAGGTAAATGATCATAAAAACTATTTCACAAATATTTCGCTCTTGACAGAACCCTGTAACATACTAATTGGAATTCTTTTTTAGGCATGGGATTTGAATCCAGACAAGAGACCAAATTTCCAGGAAGTGAAAACCAAACTGGGCCAACTGAAACAACAGACGATGTTGTGAACTAACAGTCCAGAATATGTAGTGTTTGTTAGAGTGGATGTAGTATGCATAACATTATTATGCAAGTTATTCACATAATTTATTATTTCAATTGATCATGTCAATTCACAATTTCATTCAAACATTCGGGGTAACAAGGATGAACACTTGCCCATTGAAAGGTTATTATTATTGTGAAATTTACCTGATATTGTCTAAGACTGGGCAAGTGCATTAGTATTATTGTAAATATTGTTGCAAATTTATGAAAGATTATACTATAAAACACATTTAAGCACCTAACATGAACATTATCTAATATCTGTGCAATTTTGACAGAAAATAACAGAAGTATAGCAAAAAAGGTGTGAAAACTGAAGTTAGCTACTTAGGCTTGCATTGCTATACTATTTTCATTTTTGATTGCACAGTAATAAAAATATAGTAGAAAAAAAAAGTTTACCATTTGAAATGCCTAAGGACAAAAATGTTAATAATTTTTTGTTAATATAAATGTAATAACTTAATCACTGGATACCTCGATTGTTATCAAAATTGTGATCTTAAACTAATCTCTTGTATGTGGTGTGGTTTAAAAAAGCAATTTATTGCATTGCCGTACTCTGTTAAGGAACCTAGTATTTATTTCCAAAAATTTAATTTATCAAACAAATATAAAGTTCTGTGAATCTTATTTAGCATCCCATTTCCAATTGTAAAGTTTATTTGCTTGTTTTTGATTGTTTCAAATGAGTATTTGTTAAGTTGTATTTAATAATGTATATTTTTTATATTTTTAATTCTGCTGGAATTTGAAAATTAAACTTTTTTTATTGTGTTGATAATCTTCAATCCTTTATATATAACCTATAAACCTATGACCTAGTCAGATTTGGCATGGTGAGACTATGAATTAGAATGATTCTCAAGTATTGCCATCCACAAAAGAGTAATAATCTCATGCTCCTTGACAATATTAATAGAAAATAAGCAGCTTTGAATGATTATGGGATAGGCAACAATTTTTAATTAGTTTTTAGATTTTGGCTTAAAATAGTTGATATTGAAATGATTTCTGTCTAAACATCTGTTTAAACTGACAAGATAAAAAGTTGATGGATTTAAAATTTGTATATGGAAATACAAATTGATACATGAGGAAATGAATCATTTTTAATAAAAAGACATGAAAATTACAAAATCATAATTTAATGTTTTTTAAATAAAAATCCAACTCCAGTGGTAAGAAGAATACATGGATACAAAACAAACAAAAATATAATGGGACACCAGTTTGGTGTCCAAAATAGATATCAAACACACCATATTACTGTCTCTATTGGTTCAAATATCTTTAAGATCTGCAGGCATCTCATTCTTTGGATGTTTGTTTTCAAAGTGTTGCTTGTAGGTTTTTGGATCAGGCATTTGTGCCTGAAAATTAAAATTGATGTCAAAGCCTTATCTACATAGTACATAGTGGTAAATTGTAATATATCAACAACTTTCTGTTGGACCAATGAGCTTAATTGAAAAATAAGAAGAGACACTTAATATCAAACTTGAGAAGGAATTCATAATATGAGAATCTGTGTAGACTGAGTAATGTCAATATCAACAGAATAAAGAACTCTGAAAATATGTCTGGAAGAAGTCTACTCAAAATAATAACTGAAAAGTCAACTGAATTGAGTGATTCATCATAAGTCTCACCTTACAAATCGTGCAAATGTGAACCAAGGCTTTCTGGGCTGCCTTTTTTTGGTCTGTTGAACTATGTCCTTGCTGTTTTTTCAGTTTGGCAGACTTTTCAGCAGCTTTAGCTTGGGATTGGAGTTTTTGTTGTCCTCTAGCCATTCTTCAGTAACTGAACATTCACCTGAAACAAGATATAATAGATAAATATTAAAAATACTTTTGCATGTACAGTTATTTGAACTTCCTAACGAAGACCTAACCTATAAATTTAATAAATGTTGTCAGTGGCTTTCAAAGGGTTATACATTAGTTATCGAAATACAAACCCTGTCCTCAATCGAAAGATAGATGATTCAATATTTCACGAGAAATTTATGATTTTGTTCAAATTTTCTGTTTTTCCATCAATGGTGACAGCTGCAACCGCAACGCGTTTTCCGAATTTCTCTCTTCTTCTTTTTTTGTTGATTAGTTGTCTTCTTGATTTCACAGCCGTCGTCTCTTTTTATAGTCTATAGAGTACAGTGACAGAAGTCCTATCGATTAGTGTCGATAATCTACAGGGTGTATGAGATTAGTCAAAATAACCAAATAAAACGTCCATAATATCATATTTCACAATAAGTAACTGAATGAGTACAAAAAAAGTGAAAGTTAATTCGAGAGTCGAAAAAATTGCAGTAGGTATCTACCTCAAGTAAGGGCTCCCCTTTTTGACAACATGAAAGTTAAAATTTTGTCAAGAAGCATTTTTTCCGCTACACAACAGAGAAAAAATAGGATGTATATAGGTATAGCGGACAGACTGAGCTCGAAAATAATCCCAACTAATTTGGATGCAGAAAAACTATGGAATAATTGAATGTAGATATTAAATTAAATATATACGTATATATATATTTTATATTACGATGAGAATAAAAAGAATTCGTCCTCCTGGTCTGAATACATTCTATACTTTCGTTTTCGGGATCATCTATTTCCCATGCAGATATAATATATTCGGACATATTCCACTCATCAAATACATGGAGGGAATGTCGCTATAATTCGATTGTTTTTTTTCTCACCACCATCTAATGAATAATACTTTCGTTTTTAACAAAACCAAAAATTATCATTTCAAAAGACATGAACATAGGTACCTGACCCGGCGTCTGACAGACACTTTTTTGCTTTGACATATACTTGACCATTACCTGACTATTTTTGAGTTTGTTACCCTATATTTTAAAAGCAGGTGCTCATGAACGATAGTATGAATGTCGACGGGCAATTTGGATGAGATTTTCGGGTTGCTGGGATATATGTAGACCACCATCACTATAGCCATCTATAGATATGTGAGTGGCGTAAAGCAAGATTGTCTTTCGGCACCCTTTGGTCGACGCTTACACATCACATATATTGCATTTCAGTTTGAATTAGATAAATAATAATTACCAACTTTTACTGCAAACACGATATACTTATTGAAGTTTAGTGAAATTAAGTGAAATTCAGATTAGGTACTCAATGAAATCAATAAGTATCATTCTGCAATTTTGAGGCTTCTTCAGTCACCAACCAGACTGAATTTTGCCACTATGAATGCTTATACGGGGGAATCGTAAAAAAATAATGAATAGAGGTATGTACTTTCAACTTGAATATCCTGTATCACAGAAACTAAACAAGTCAAATCATCAAAATTCAATTCCTTAGTCGAAATTGCTTCTTGCATTTGGCATTTTGGCGTCGCTTTTGCCATCTGACGCCTATAGAACGACCGCTTCTCTTGCTCTATCCTAGGGCTGGCGCTCAATTGAGCCTTCAACTTAAACCTATGCCTTTGAAATAAATCGACACATTAAAAAATATATTTGAAACACTTATGGATTGCTATCCAACCGCTGATGGTTCAAAAGTTGTTAATTTTTTTTCATTTCTATAAAAAAAAATTATTACGATAAAACTATATCACATTTGTGATTTTTTCTTTTACGAATTTCATCCGCATGGATGCACCTTTCTCCAGAAAAAATTCTATGACCTGTGCATGTTACTTCGTATCAATTACCTATGAAAAATGTTGTTTTCCTTAACCTTTGTCATTGAATGAAATATTTCAGTTGATTTTGACATGCCACTGGCAGATTTAAAAAGTACCCCACAAAAGATAACCCATTATGAGAAAAAGTTGCCCATCCAATACAGATTCCGAAATGGTATAACATATGGGGTTATTCAAAACACCCTTTTTGTTATAAATTTTTTTCAAATGGGTCGCGTTTTTTCAGAAAAAATGAATAACTTTTGAACCGTCAACAGTTTGATGACTACATACCGTTAGTTTGATTGCAAATGACTTTCCTATCACCCCATTTCTTTTGATCCATTATTACTTAGGGGACACCCTGTATAATATATCAGTTTATTTAAAAAGTATCATATTAGATGAAGTCACATCAAAAGTTTTAGATAAATTTCAACTGATTCATAATTATTGATGTAGGGTACGTTGAATGATTGCTGATATATACTTATTTCGAAGCCGTATTATCACATCACAAACATTTTGAAGTTTTCTTTATGCACTTCGAATTTTCAGGCCGTGGTCCAGTACCTATACCCATATTCTAATTAGAAAGAAAACCAAAAATATTCGATGAATGATGAAATATTATAATGGGTACCTAACTCATAGATATTAGGTAGGTGGGTGTAGGTACGTTATAAATTATAGGTATATGTATATTATTAATATTTGTAGCCTATAAGTAATCTAAACTGAATGAATGACTCTTTCATATATATTAATATCAATAACCATGTGGAGATTATCATTATTGAAAAAACATTTTGACGATTAGTTTATTAAACGGGGAACAAAATGCATAGAATTGTTATTAATTATATTGGCAACCATATGGTTCCCAATAATTGATAAGTATATACATATATTCCTGCTACATAATCAACACCACAATGATAAAGGCCATATACATATATAAAGGGAAAACAATAATTCTGTTACCATTTCAGTAGTGTTATTTATCACAATACGAATTACATCTGAGGTGAGTTGGTGCACGTAACTTCCTATTTTACTTAATTGGGTAGATTGTAAAAAATCTATACGACCTAGCACAAGAAGCACAAGTAAAACAGTAGCCTGTATAATGTATATATTTAGTATAGAGCACCATAAGCCAATGTCAAAATTCAAGTAAGTAATCCTAATACTTATACATTTGTTCCAGGATCATGAAGAGGTTTGCTTATTCTTTTACGCTGGTAGTCCTGGGACTTGCCAGTGGCATCCACATGCGGCAAATCCGCAGATATCCCTCCTACAGAAGTCGCGGTCTTATGACAAATCTTTTGGCTGCAATGAACGGAAAGAGAGGACTCAATTTATTCGATGAGTCTTCAGCTAACTCAAAAATATCTGGGGCAGGATCCGACAACGACTGGTTGAACGACGGTGGTTCCAACCCTGGAAAAAGATGTGCATATCTGTTCAATGAAGGTTGTAGTAATGGAGGAGTTCCTGGTTCCGGATCCGATAACGATTGGTTGAACAACGGTGGTTTCAATCCTGGAAAGCGCAACCTGAGATTCTTAAATTTCTGGGACGACACCGACTCTAAGACGAAAACCGCTGGAGCTCGAAGATCCTTGAATTTATTCGACTGGTTGAATGGAGGTTCCACTCCTGGAAAACGATCTTTGAATTTATTCGACGAAGGTTCTGCCAACGGAGGAATATCTGGCTCTGGCTCAGACAACGACTGGTTGAATGGGGGTTCCACTCCTGGAAAACGATCTTTGAATTTATTCGACGAAGGTTCTGCCAACAGGGGAATATCTGGCTCTGGCTCTGACAACGACTGGTTGAATGGGGGTTCCACTCCTGGAAAACGATCTTTGAATTTATTCGACGAAGGTTCTGCCAACGGGGGAATATCTGGCTCTGGCTCAGACAACGACTGGTTGAATGGAGGTTCCACTCCTGGAAAACGATCTTTGAATTTATTCGACGAAGGTTCTGCCAACAGGGGAATATCTGGCTCTGGCTCTGACAACGACTGGTTGAATGGAGGTTCCACTCCTGGAAAACGATCTTTGAATTTATTCGATGAAGGTTCTGCCAACAGGGGCATATCTGGCTCTGGGTCAGACAACGACTGGTTGAATGGAGGTTCCACTCCTGGAAAAAGATCTTTGAATTTATTCGACGAAGGTTCTGCCAACAGTGGCATATCTGGCTCTGGGTCAGACAACGACTGGTTGAATGGAGGTTCCACTCCTGGAAAAAGATCTTTGAATTTATTCGACGAAGGTTCTGCCAACAGGGGCATATCTGGCTCTGGCTCAGACAACGACTGGTTGAATGGGGGTTCCACTCCTGGAAAACGATCTTTGAATTTATTCGACGAAGGTTCTGCCAACAGGGGCATATCTGGCTCTGGCTCAGACAACGACTGGTTGAATGGAGGTTCCACTCCTGGAAAACGATCTTTGAATTTATTCGATGAAGGTTCTGCCAACAGGGGCATATCTGGCTCTGGCTCAGACAACGACTGGTTGAATGGGGGTTCCACTCCTGGAAAACGATCTTTGAATTTATTCGATGAAGGTTCTGCCAACAGGGGCATATCTGGCTCTGGCTCAGACAACGACTGGTTGAATGGGGGTTCCACTCCTGGAAAGAGATCTTTGAATTCATTTGACGAAAGTGTCCCAGGAGCTGCGTCGGACCAGGACTGGATAGACGGAGGATTTTCACCAGGAAAGAGGACGGTGAGCCTGAATTTATTCGACGAGACTGGAAGCAATGGAAGAGTTAAGGGTTCCGGTTCAGACAACGATTGGTTGAATGCGGGATTCAACCCAGGGAAACGATGTGCCAATCTCCTGGATGAGGGCTGCAGCAATGGTGGAGTTCCAGGAGCTGGATCAGATGACGATTGGATCAATGGAGGTTTCTCTCCTGGTAAAAGGAGCTTGAAACATTATTAAGACTTTGCATATACGAAGAGTGATATAAAAAAATTCAGTTGTTGAAATTCATATATGTAACTATTCTCTTTAATTTTATTAATTCGTTATTATTAAATTATACATACCGTTTTTGAGTTTTTCCAATTCTATAAAGTACATCTATGGTAGCAAAGCACAGTTCATGAGCATGAGACCGCAATTGTATTAACATGATGACTATATAAGGAGGAGATCTCAATTAAAAAGGATGCATCCGCCAAAATGTCAATTTTTAGCCTGTATACCTACTCTGTAGTACGAAATTTTGGAGGACAGGTTTCATAACCGAAAATCCTATGAGACACGTACCTATACAGTTATAACGGGAAGAATCTGAAGGTATATAACCCATACCATTGTCCTTATATTTTTTTAGAGTATCAGATGAAGTATGGTTTCGTGACAAATAATATGTGCGAGATCAGTGTCACGGTGTCTAAATGAAAGACCTGCGAGAA